TGTCTCTATATGTTGAGATTTTGATTTTAATGCATTCTTGGTCTCTTGTAACTCTTGCTGTAGTTCCTTGATAGTTGACTGGAGTTTGTCAACTTGATTGGAATTCTCAGGAACAACATCTATCACAGTCTTACTGACCTCCAATTCTTCTGTTAGTCTCTGAATCTTACTTGACATCTCCTGTTTGATTGAAACACATTCTGCTTCCAGATTCTCAGTTACCATTTTCTTTTCTTCAAGTTTCTTTTCCAGATTTTCAATTTCTGTTTGAAATTGGGTGATCTGAGATTCTACATTAGAAGCAACAATATTATCTAAATCAATGGCTTCCAAAGCCTGATTCTTTTCAGTTAATTCAGTCTTTAGGTTTTCTATTTCCATTTTAAACTTTTCTATTCCATCTTCAAGTTCTATGTAAGACTTGTTGGTTTGAGCAAGTATTTCCTTTGTTTCGTCCAATTCTGCTTGAAGGAGATTAAATGCTTCATCTTTCTGGGTCAAGAGATAATTATTTTCATCAAATTCTGCTCTTAGGGCTTCGAATGCTTGCACTTTTTCTAAAACAAGATCTTTTTGTTGGGAGAGTTCTGCTTCAAGGGATGTAACTCTAGTCTCAATTTCTGGAGTAGCAGACGTGAAGGTTTCAGCAGCCAAATCAATGTTGTTCAAAGCCTCATTCTTCAACTCTAATTCCGATTCTAGCTCTTCAATCTTTGTCTTCAATCCTGCAATAATCTCGGAAGTCTCAAAATGATCTAGTTTATTTGAATCATTAGAATCTTCTAATTCCTGCAGCTTCAAGCGATATTCTCTTGCCTTTTCCTGATGTTTTGATAGTTCTATGTTCTCCATTTTTAAGGTATCAATCTCATAATTTTTCTCATCCAGTTGAATTTCTAATCTAGAAATTTGTTCTTTTAAACCTTTCTTTTCCTTCTCATCATTAAGCTTCTTTTCATTTGTCAACATCTAAAATAAATAACAAATATTAAAGGGATACTACGTCTTAGAATGAACATAAAATTTAAATTTTTTAAACTTGGCCAATAAGAGCATATATTCATCAGTAGATATACCTGGTGTCATAAATAACATAACAGGGTTATATAATCCAATAAATCCAAAAAACTTAATAAAATGCAATTAACTATTGAAAAACACTTAATATTAAGATTAAGCATTTTTCAATAATTACTTGTTTTATGAATTTTCCAATTTTCCAGATTTTACGGGTATTCTGTTGTAACTTTATGACACCAGGTAAGCTAACTGATGAATATATATACTCATACTGACCATTTTTGAGAATTAAATGTTCATTCTAAGAAGTAGTATCACTTTAAGAAGTTTGCTACAAATGCATGTAGACACGCAATTGCCAATCACAAGTAGTAGCTGTAAAATGCTATCTTGGCGATCATTATTCAAATATACACCAGGCTATGCCATTTGGTATGATATTGAACAATCCATGCTTGCATTTTGTTCACATCTAATGCAATATTTGTAATTAACAAAGGGTAGGTCAAGAGAAGCAGATCTTTCAACTTGAGTGTTTACTACAAAAATATAGTCAAAAAACAAAAACCATTTCAGCCAATAAACAATATCTTACCTGTCCAGTAGAATGTCTCATTTTATCAACATTCTGTAATTTAGCTTCTGATTGTTCAACTTGTCTCTCTAACATAGTAATATAATCTTGATTAGTTTTATGTTGTTTATCAGATTCACGATTCAACTGAAAAATAATCAAATTACTATTGAATTTCAATATATATCAAAAAACTTTTGAAATATTTTTTATTTGTTAGAAAAAGCAACCTACACTAATAATCAAAATAATTTCTTTTTGTTAACCAAAAGCCAAGGTACACTAATCTTACTTGTATTAAAGACACAGCAAAAGAAATATGTCAATTTTTTTTGTGTGTCATTTCTGCATTATTTTTGTTCCAAAAAACAAATAAAAACTGACACTAGGATATAGTGGAAGATCTTTTTGTTTGTGTGTACCTTATCAATCTTCTGCTGCAATTTAATCACGTCATCTTTCTTAGCAGTTAGTTTTTGACTTAAATCAGTTTTATCTTCCACAACTTTATAAAGTTCAGCTTCAACTTGAGTTATATATTGATTCTGTTGATCCAAGTCACTTTTAATCTTCTCTGTTGCTGCCTGTAAAAACAAATGAGTTAAGTAATACAGATAATGTAGACAACCGAACTATATGTCATTACTTCCAGGGAAATATGAACATTCTCGCATGCATTTATTATGTTATTACCATTCTGGACATGACAACAATCTGAAATTTTAGGAAACTCAGAAGTAGAATCAAAAATTGAATTTTAATTCGCAAAATTGCAAAGGATAAGCCAGTTCGGAACTGTGGCAATCTATGGACAGCGATGGAAAAAGGATAAAATATAAAAGGTAACTACATTGACAGCTATCAATTTACCATTTATAACTTTTTGAAAGCAAGTTTGCTTGAATCATCGAGTATATTACAATTCTGACGATTGTAAACCCTTTATATTAGATACATTGTTTATCTTGAGGCAGAAGTAGGGAATGTTCACGTTTCACATGTACACTTATTGTTACAAACTGGCTTATAAGTAATATTGATAAATTGAAGACAATATCTAACATGTGATGATGTGGCTTAAGGGAGTACTATCCGTTAGACCAATCATACCTTAGTTTCAGAAACAGGAATTAATTTAGCTTATATAATGAATAATAGAGTTCACAGCTCAGTGTCGAAATTTGAGCCTTCAAATCCATGTGTATCCATAATTATTCACCTTTGAAAGTTAAAAATTCGACTCGAATTTTAGTGAGACACATATTTAGAAATGGACAGTGAAATTTCTAGTTTGAGGTATATTTGAAGGGATTATGCAATTTTCATACATTTAAGTACATCACAATAAAGATCCAAATCAATCCCTGAAAATGCTGACTGTTCCCCTTTAATGTACACTTTGTTCAAATTTCACACCAAAATATCATAAGATGTAAATATAAATGTGATTTATTTTGGGTACAGACCTGAACTTTCTCAGCTATATCTGATTCTGTTATATTCTTTTCAAATGATGTAAATTGTCTTAATTCTTCCAGTTCATCTACTTTATTATAATATTGTTGATTTAATTCATCTAGCATTCTTACTCTAAAATATATCATTATAATAATTATAATCTTATATAGAGAATATTAATACCAACAATGTCTATAATGGAATGAAATAAAATTTATTTTCAGAAGGTATTATCTCGACCCATGCCAGGAATAAAACCTTGACCTTCAGGTAAGCGAACAAGTGTCTAACTCACTCAAAAGGATCATTTAAATAATATTCATAGTTATAATTTGAAGCTTGTAAAACTATTTATGTTACAAGTTTTACAGGTATATCACTTACAATTCAGTGAGTTTTAATTTCATGGCTTCCTTCTCTCTATCTGTTTCTAAATCGTTACCAGTAACACCAGGATATCTAGTTGATGCCATTGATGTATCAGAGAAAGTACTAAATATAGAAGTTTCTATGATACTATTAGCCTCTCTAAACTGCACTGCACTTTCTGGTATATCCATAGAAGAAAAATTCATTTCATTTGGTGATAAAAATGAGTTTCCACACAAATTGGGTGCAAATGAGGTTCCACCAAAATCGGCTCCTGGAACTTTAAAAAAAAGAATTCAAATTACAATGGTACATGGCAAATAGTGGATTTAATTCTCTGTTGGCATATGACAGAGTGGTGACCTTGAATAAGCCATCTGTTCTCATTATTCCAGGCAAACCTCACTGTTCAAATTGGATGTGTCTTATATCTGAAGCTGACTGGAGTAATGAGATCAAACAGTGAGGGTTATTTTGCATGAACCTTCAGGTGAGAAAGCAAGCCACCATCATATTAGAGCAGAATTGAGTATTATACTAAACTCAAGAATCTTGTTCTTATCTTAATATCAGTACATGTAGATATGATTACAACCAAGGTGTTTTTCACATCACAAGAAGCCACATTGACCAATATTCTACACTCAAAGTGATATCAGCATGAAAAGTTGTTACAAACTTCTGAAAAGCCCTCACTTCACTTCTATGTTTTATTCCATTGTAGGCGAAATTGAGCCTCATCAGTTGGAAAAGCATAAAAGTAGATGACTGTATACCTATAATATTTGTCTCTTATACTTACAATGGCTAATTCTTCGCAACTTTGGACCAGCCCACGTTTCTCTTCGCATTTTTTTCTACAATTACGAAAACCGTTACCTTATAAAATATCCAATTTTTGTGCAATGTCTCGATGTGTTTCCCTTGTTTTCCTCAGACACATAGCTTGTTCAGCAACTGCTACTACCGAATTTTCTTTGAAAAGTTCTTTGTATAAAAATCAATCAAAAGCAAATCTTTATCAAAAACATGAAAAACATCAACCATCTCTGTAGCATTAACAAATATCTAATTTTGATGCTACAGGGAATGTTGGTCTCACATGCTAATAAAGCAAGGTAGGTTGTCTTATTGACTTATTATATTATAAAACATATATCAAACCTTCTGTACTTCAGTTTTCTTTTCATCAGGATTTGAGTTAGAGGTACAAATCATTTTTTGTAAATTTTCTATTAATCTTTTCTGTTCACATTGTATATTTTCTTTTTCTTTTAGTTTTCTTTCTAATTCATTCTTCTCCATTTGCATATCAATAACTCCCATCTAAATTTATTTAAATCATAGAAATTATATTGTAACAAGATTAACATAATAGTAACATAAAATGATAGTAAATAATTTTTAGCCCAAGTCATATTAGTTTCTTTCTGTTCTGTAGTTTTATATGAAAATCATCTGTATAGTTTAAATGGCACCAATATTTTCTTTTTATATGGAAATTTTTCAACGATAAACTGATTCATGAAGAGGTGTCTGACAGAATGGCAGACAGAATAACCAAAAACAAAACAATAATTCAATTTTTAAACAAAGCTACCTCTGAAGCTGATTTCTGCAATCTTTGTATTTCCATTCTATATTTCTTTAAAAGTGCATCACCATTTAGAACTTCATTAACATGAGGTTTATTTTTAATCTTCTTGGCTCTGGATGCAAACTGTAATACAATTTTGTTACTTCCAATGACAGCCATTAAGACAACCATGTTATTTCCACACATCCAAAACTCCTAGTTCCATGCACCCAAAAATCAGTTAAAAAAAACGCCATAAATCTAGGGACAAAATTCTCATAAGGACAAATAATTATTCTTTTAAGGTAATGTAAAGTTAGTGCACTCACTAACCAGGAGCAAGAAGTCAACAATGGAACTATTCTATAATGTGAAGACTCTGTTTAAATCTAACTGACAATATTCTGAATGAATACAAACCTTTAATGTAGAATGACTTTCTACTATAGAGGTAGGTGCTATAGTACAAATAATAGCTGTTTTAGAATTACCACCCAAGGCATTTTGTAATATTCTTGTTAATTTAGAATCACGATATCCTATATAACCTTCACTGAAATATAAAATCACCATTTCATAATGATCAAAGGGATCAAGCAAGAGATAAGACTGTCTCAATTTTTGCTTTATAAGCTGATATAGCTCATTTTCTGCTAGTTTGTTCAAAATATCACGTATATAGAGGTCTAAAAGTCTAGATCAATCCAATAACTATAGTGAAAGTTAATCATTAACTAATTCTTTCAGAACATAATATCAATATGTTCTTACTAGACAGGTAAATCTACCCTACCAAGGCACATTAAAGAAAGAATGGTAGAAATTTGGGTTTCAGTTATTGCATGCTTCTTCTTAGACTGAGGAGTATATCAATTGAATTAAACTTTAATACAATATACATACTTATCTCCTTCACTAAGTTTAAATATAACTTGTGACAGTGACAGTAAACTTTTATTGATAGCACAACCTTCTTTCAGTCTGTCACCAGAATTCTCTCCTGCCTTCTCAGAACCAGCTAAATCAACAAAATTCTGAAAAAAATATCAAATATATATAAGATTTTAATAAATTTTGTTATTACAGTAAGCTTACAGTTTATTTTCTTCTGCTTTCTATTAGCATGTAAGTCCAGGGTTCAACATCTATAATTGGCTAATGGTTAGGGCACACAAAAATTTTTTGTAAACCGGTGTCAAAAGTCGGCAACAAAACTGCTTGTGTGCCCTCACCATTAAAACACCAGCTTGAGAATTTGTACCCACTTCTTCAATGCGAATCAGGTCCAGAAATCACAAGGAAAAAGATCTAAGTCACTTCTACAGAGGCCATCGTATCAAAGATATTGTGCTGCTGTTTAGGCTGAACCTGCCTCATTGTACACTACATTGCATTTCCGAATTTTTATAATCTATGTCAGCAAAATTAAAGATTTTTATCACCATAATCAAACTGAAATTTGTTAAACTAGCCTTGCCTACAGGCTTGTTAATCATTACTACTGATGTTTTTTGATAAATATCGTTTGAAAGGTCAAACTGATGTATGACTTACTAAATGTGACAACATGACAGCATCATTTTCACCTGTTTCACGACTTTCTATAATCTGAAAATAATAAAAAACAAATTAGATAAAATAAAAAAATACAATCTCGTTACGTTAACCAAATTTAATGGGTTAATTCAGAACATCCAATAAAAAGGTGTGTTGTAATTTCAATGGACTTGATAAACTAGCCTTACGCTTCTAGGGATCCAGCCCTTGACAGGGTAGAAATTTGATTGGTTAAAGCAGAGGTCATCAGGTTGGGTCAAAAAGTTTATGGAAGAAGGTTCAAGAGGGCTGTCATTAGACCCAACTGTAGTGGCTTTATTAAAAATAAAAGCTTACAAAAAACGGAGCGAAAGTTTGTTCTACTTTTAATTAGACTACATTATCCTTCTATAAATAACAAGTGTCTGTGATCTACTCACCATTCTCAGAATACTATGTGATCTAGAGCTTCTATCATTTTGTTTAGTTGCTGCAGTTTTTCTGCGCACTGTAAATATAAACAACTCCTCATGTGAATTAAAAAATAAACAAATTGACCACAGGTCATCAGACTCAAAAAATTGAAGTATCAGTGTTTAAAACTGAAACAAAACTATCTTCACTTACTGTCTCCTTGTTGAATAACTTCAAAAACTTTTTCTAAACTTGTCACATGTTGTTCATGTAAACCAATGACATTTATCTGGTGATCCTGAAACACAAATAATATTTTTGACTTCTCATTTATATGTATCCTGTATCTCCTAAAAGTTTTGTACTTTAAAGCAAAACTAACTGTACTAATCATACTGTATATCCTTGTATTTGAATGTGGAACTTACTGTATCCTCTTGTATTTCAATATCAAACTCTGTATCTGCTTGTATTTTAATGTGAAAGTTACTGTATCTTCTTGTATCTTAATATAAAAATCTGTTTTCTTTTTCATTTTAATATCAAACTCTGTATCTTCTTGTATTTCAATACAAAACTTACTGTTAATATATAACTTACTGTGTCTTCTTGTATATTAATGTGAAACTGACTGTATCTTCTCATTTTTAATGTGAAACTTACTGTATCTCCTGGTATTTTTAATGTGAAATTTACTGTATCTCCTGGTATTTTTAATGTGAAACAAACTATATCTTCTTGTATTTAAATAGCAAACTTACAGTATCTTCTTGTATTAAAATAACAAACTTACTGTATCTTCTTGTATTTTAATAACAAACTTAATGTATCTTCTTGTATTTTAATAATAAACTTACTGTATCTTCTTGTATTTTAATAACAAACTTAATGTATCTTCTTGTATTTTAATAATAAACTTACTGTATCTTCTTGTATTTTAATGGGTTTATCTTTTTCTGTTGACAATAAATCTGATATTTTTTCTTGATAAATCTCCATGTAGCACATACGCAATAAAAACTCTCTGTTTGGACACTGTGAATAAATAAGGAAAATGAAATGAAATAAAGCGAGTTAGCCTACTCTTCTCCGATTTCCAACTGCCTCCGAATCTTTAACATGTATAGTCTTGGTTTATTTTCCATCTGAATTAGCTTGTATTAGTAACTCGAGAAAACCATCTAAAGACATCCAGAATGCTGATGAAGGGAGTAGAAATGTCCTCAGTTGTCTAGATGATCTAATTGACAATACATAGGTTAAACTTACTTCTTCAACATAATCAAATATTTCTGTAGCAGCTTGTCTTATTAATCCTGGTGCCATACTGTCACCTGACATTGTAAATGTTTTACCAGAACCACTCTGACCATAAGCAAACACAGTTCCTGCAAAATATGATTCAGTCTTCATAATACTTGTGTACTTGATTTTACTTGCATGCCATTCTTATGAAAAGTATGCTCACACAAAAGCTGATGTGATATATACTTAGAAAACAGACTTAAAACATAGCTTAGCTAAGATTTGCTTCATTCACATCATGATCCATCTTCTAACGGTTATCAACAGATATCAATAGAACTAAATAATATTACATACCATGAATTCCTGTCATAGCAGCTTTAACAATAGGAGAACTAATCTCATCATGTAGTTCATAAGTTGTACAGTTTTCATCATAGACACAATCTGAAAATCACAATTTCTGGATTTTTTAGTATCTAATTACCCTTATTTTTTTTTTTTTTTTATTCTGTTTTTACAAATCTTTTCATATCATTTTTGAAAAATAGATCGTAATGCATTAAAGATGCCAATTCACTGTTCGTTTGACCAATTGTACATAGTCTCAGAACAGCCCACTGTCAAAATTCTAGCATTCAAATTCATGTATGTCCAGAATTATCTGCGTTTGAAAATGATGACTTGTCTTTCCTTCAGACTCTGCAATTCTTAGAAAACATATAAACGGAAATAGAAAGTAAAATATAGTTGGAGGTATGGGTACTTCTGAGGGTTATAGTAAATTTAGCACCTAACCAAAATGGACCCAAAATTAGTTGAGTAGTAAAAATTGGTCAATATGGTCCCTAAAACAGTTCAAAATGGCCCTTTGAAAAATCTAAAATGGTACCAAAATAAAAACTAATTACATATGTGTTTAAAATCCAAATCAACCCCTGGACGAATGATGACCTTTAATCAATAAGCGTTTATAATTCAATCACAGAAATTTGACGCAAATAAAATTAAACTCACCAAATGTGTAAACTGGTTGAATTTCATCTCTTTGATTTACAGACTTATCTTTTGTCTCCCACATACTAATTAGTCCATTTTGTCTCTCTCTAAAATTAAAAAACATTTATTGATCAAGTTTCACTTTTTAGAAGACTAATAGAATAGGGTGATGGCATTTCCATGTGATTCATCCAATTATTTCTTTAGAGGGACAGGTAGGCCATTTTTTTTTTTACCATTCATACTTTAGTCTATTTAGCTAAGCTAATCAGTAATAGTGTTCAAAGCTCACTGTCAAAATTTGAGCTTTCAAATCCATGTGTGTCCAGAATTATCTGCGATTGAATGTTAAAATGACGACTCAATTGAAGATACTCAATATAAGGTATATAGAAAAGAACTAAGCTTAAAGAAATACCGAGTAAAATTCCTAGTTTCAAGTATTTTTAAATGAAAAATTGTGATTCTCGTACATTTCTAGTAATTCTGAAGACTATTTACATATATTTAAGACTAAAATCAACCCCCCAAAATGGGTAGCAGAGAATATCATAGCGTAATCTTCAAAAAATATGGTTATTATAACAATTATTAAGCAAATATCCGGTATAGCTATTTTCATAATATTGTTTAAAAAGATTAATATAAAACAAATAAATAATATGAAACTTACTTCTGCAGCATTGGTCGAATTCGCACTGCAACTTTGACTGCATCAATCTTGTCTGGTGGATCCATGATCTCATTAATTTATTAGCACCTGTAAAATTGAAAAAGAATTGACATACTGTTAATGTTATCACTATCAGTGCTATTTCTCTGGCCACTCAACACCTAGTTTACATGTATGTTGATCACAATCTTTAATTTCAACGACAAGTAGTGAAAATTATGAAATTTTTCTCTGCCATTAGGATTAGGCACTACTACTACTGTATTAGTGATTTGATTGGCTGTCTTGATACCGTAAATATATCAAATTTTAAATTTTTGAAAATAATTAGAAGTGCATTGTACACACTTAGTATCAATAATTGACAATGTCCCAAGTTTGGTAAAAAAAAAAAAAAAAAAAACACTAGACCTAGTAATAACTGCATTCGGTTTATCTGTGTTCTCAAATTTTTTAGCCATTTCTTCGCTTATATTTCTCAAGCCATAGTCTACTTCTTACCATTATCTGAGTCATTTATTTCATAGTTATGTTTAATAAAATAGATATGAATCTGTTATTGATTATTTCATATTAAGCCTAGTTACTTAGTAATTAATAAATAAATTTAAAACTCACTTTTTCAACCTTTCTTCTTGATAGAATTCGAATTTCCCTATGCAAAATAAATATGACAATTTGATTGGTTGAAATTTAAGTTAGCCAGTCTGGGTTATCCAGCACTATTTTCTCGTATTTTTAAGAGTAGTCTCCCTTACCTACAGGTCGAATTGTCGAATTGTCGAAGTGTCCTTAAATGATTTATTCAAGACTAAAGCATTTTAAATAGCCTAGAACAAGAACCACCGAATTCTGATAGATTAAGGTGATCATCAGTCATTTACTATTGAAACCTTTAGTAAACATAGTTTTTGAATTATTAAATGAAATCTGATTAGGTCGAATTATCTTGTGATTTGGCGTCATAAATATCGTACTGTCGGTAGTTAAAAGTAAATTTAGCTTAGAAACGGAAGTAAATAAAGGAAAGTGACAATAACACAATAACAGGTGCCCGTTTGAGAAGTGTCAGGTCTATATTTTGTGAGTTTACTACTACATATAGCTTAATTTGAAGTCAAGAAACAAGGTAAGGTTACTAAATATGTTTAATTTGTAAGGAAATATATACAGGCCTTAATGTCAAATGCAGGGTTAAGGTGTTAGATTATAATACGAGGGAGGATCCGCACTGTATTGTATATAATAAGGACCTATCCTATGCAATTATGGCTATTGTGGACAATTATTAATAAGTTATACTGATAGACCTACTTTCGTACCCTACACTACTGATACTGCCACCATACTGATATTCTTGCTAGCTTACCACATGCTCTAGCTTCAAAACCATGCAAGAAACGAGGTGGAAAAAGGGGCAGGTGTAGGAGATTTGGTAAAAATATGGGTCACAATTTAAGCCAAATACTCCTCTGTCTGGCATGACTATATTTTAACTTGCAATTCGGTATTGTCTACATGTTAATGTCATTGTCAATGAAGACTTACTGAAGTTACTCATAAAAACCGATGCAGTGCACCAGTAGTAGTATGAAGCCAAATTGTTTGTCCCCATAGTTTTAAGGTTAAAATTGTTAAATCAATACACCTGAATTCCATGGAAGGCCCGATGTGGTTTCCTTTAAAGTTGCATGAACCACTATTAGCTCCCCTTTATTTTCATATTGCAGAATATCAAAATGGTATTATTTATTAACATCAATGAAGGACAAGAGGTTGAAGTATTATATCAAGGAATAGTATGTAGAGGCATAGTGAAATATAAAGGTTGTGTTGTTGGTAAAAAAGGTGATTGGGTTGGTGTGGCTTTAGATGAAAGACGTAAGTATAGAAATATTCACTTTCTAATTAGAATTCGAGCTTTTCATTAGCTTTAATTTTTAATCTCTTTAACATTCATCTGTTAGATGACACTACCAGCCAATCAAATTTCTTCCCTCTCCAATGCTGGAATTTTGTGACACAAACAAAAGGTGAATTAAGTGTCTAATGCTTCTCAGAATGTTCACCTCACAAGATCCCTGCCCCTCCAAAGACCCAAGTATATGAATTTTTTTTTGTTGGAAATATTCATTATTTTATTGTACACATGTAATAAGCCATAAACTTTCAAAATTAGAATGGATTCGATTTTTTTTTTTAATTGTCTAATAACTCATAGCTAAAACATACCTTGTGACATGAAAAAAATATAATTTCAATGTCTTTTCAGTTGGTGAGCACAATGGAACATATATTGGACGACAGTATTTTCAGTGTATGGATCAACATGGTATATTTGTTAGGGCAAAGAAAATTCGATTTATACCATCAGTAGCTAGAAGGTAGGCCTACTAAAATTATGTTGTATTATTCAAATGTTGATACAATATACAAATGATATTCTGGTTCAGCTGCCTTTAAGAAATTATGGGAGTTCCACTCAACTGACTCAAGTTGACCTTATCTTCTATGTAGTTTAAGTATTTCCTTACCACAAACATCATTGGCAAAATATTTAACTGACTTTTCAAGGCAAGTTAGCTAATATATCTTTTTGAAAGGCAAGTTATCACAACTGTCCTGTCAGAAGTTAACGTATCTGACTATTGGCTACTTTTATTAAGCTTACATTTGAAAGGGCCAAACAGTACTAGTCCTACCTCAGTACATTGACTTGTCTTTATTATTTTTTCCAGTACCTATAATGTATATTATAAAGTAACAACTCCAGCTGATTCATTAGCTGATATCTTGTTTGATGGACAAAGTAAGTAGATACTGTATTACAAGTGATAAGCATTAAATCAGATGCTCGGCTGCATTGTGAATTGTGGATAATTCACACAAAAATCTTCAATTTATTACTTCCATAATAATTCATTTTTGATATAAGACTATCTTCTATCAGGGAAGAAGTTCAAGGTTAGAAGTGCTCAGCGAAGATTAGGTTTGAAGGGCTCAGGGAGAGAATTTTTGGTTAGTTTGGGAGATCTCAGGGAATAAATTGATTGCCCTCAGGGAAGAACTTCTTGATTGGATTTATGCTCTCAGGGAAGACCTTCTTGATTAGATTGAGGAAAGACCTTCTTGATTAGATTGATGCTCTCAGGGAAGATCTTCTTGATTAGATTGATGCTCTCAGGGAAGACCTTCTTGATTCGATTGATGCTCTCAGGGAAAACCTTCTTGATTGGATCGATGCTCTCAGGGAAGACCTTGATTGGATTGATGCTCACAGGGAAGACCTTCTTGATTGGATTGGTGCTCTCAGGGAAGACCCTCTTGATTGGATTGGTGCTCTCAGGGAAGAACGTCTTGATTGGATTGGTGCTCTCAGGGAAAAACTTCTTGATTGGATTGGTGCTCTCAGGGAAGAACTTCTTGATTGGATTGGTGCTCTCAGGGAAGACCTTCTTGATTGGATTGGTGCTTTCAGGGAAGGATGATTGCTCTCATGAAAGACCTTCTTGATTGTATTGATTGAACTCAGGGAAGGATGATTGCTCTCACGGAAGAACTTTTTGATTGAATTGATTGCACTCAGGGAAGTACTATTTGGTGAATAGGCTTTTTTAGTTCCTTTAGCAGCTTTCTCTCACTCTCATGTTAACTAACTAGAAGCTATTTTTTTTTTCAGAACACAGTCACTTAGATAATGGAACATATTTAATAGATCAGTCTAAAAGATACCCAGAGACTAGTCCATATATGTATCACAAAAGTCAAGCTATATCCAGACAAGTACCTGCTGTGACCATGTTAAGACCAAGAACTGCCTTTCATTCCTCCACTAAACCTCTCCACACTGAACTCTTCAATGATGACACATTCATAAACAAACCTTCAATACCCAAACCTCATATGCCTTACACTGCTCTCAGAAATCAAGTAGCTAGAGGTTGGGATAATGCTCACTATGTACGAGAAATGCCTTTAGATTATGGTAGAGATTCTATGAAATTTTCGCAATGGAATGATATATCTGCTTAATTTATTGTATTTATTTTAAGAAAAATTGACATTTCAAGGATTCAAAAGAGGCTTTCCAACTTTTGTGTGAGTAGCAGGTTAGCATTTGCACCATTCTGATTTCCCTTCTAACATCTGTGCTTGAAGAAATAACAGAAGAGATTTAGAGATCATGATCAAAAACCTGTGGGATTATAGGTACAGAAATCAGACTTCAATATTAGAAATAAAAAAAAAATGCAAAGAATCTGTATGTGTAAAATGAAACACATACAAAAGCTAGAAAACCTTATCTTATTTAGCTTAATTAATTTATATTTTTTAGTCAAATGCTTACTTTGGGTAGTGTACAACATTATCACCTTAAAAGCATAATTATATATTTTAGTCTGCAGCCTTTTTTTCTCTTTTTGATGAAACTATACAATTGTTTATTATAGAATTAATAATAATATGAAATTCTGAATTAGAACCAATCTTGACATTTCCTCAAAGTTTTTGAAGTTTTTGAATGATACAGAGAGGTAAGGTAGTAAAGTAATGCTACTAATTTACAATGAAACATTTCAAATGTTTGAATGTAAAAGTTTACAATATTTATTACTGTTTTTTAAGATATGGTTTCTGTTATTAATGTATATCCCTGAAACTTATTTTATAGAATTTTTTGCAAAATTTTACTAAAAATGTTGTTAGTACCGGTAATCAATATTTAGACACTGAACTTTAGATTAGATTAGCAATCTCATTTTTGTAGTGAATATTTTTAGTAGTGGTCTTTTAATGAGTTTTCTTCATACACAATATGAGAAAGACATTGTTTTTGCATTAATTTCATAACAAGTTTGGTCTTAAATTCAAAGAGAATTTGTAGGAATAATATTGTTTTCTGGACTTGTGGTTTTCAAAATTTTGAATGTTTTTGTTGAGATGTTTATCAAATTTGCACCATTCCAATTTTCTATCAGACCTTAGTGGTTCCTGCAATTCTACTAAAACGTCATTGTTCACAAAGGCTTTTTGTGACACAGGCATATTTTCTGTATGTGATGTCATCAAACGCTTATATTTTTGGAACTGCAGCAATCAAAGATGTCTGACTGATAATTGGAATGGTGCAAATTGATGCTATCTGTGTCTTCGTTACACATACACAATTTTGAAAACCACTTAACAATCCCTCTATCTCTATAACAAACTGTTACACTGATTAATTTGATTGCTCATTTATGACACCTTTAAATAATAATGAGAAAGGACAAAGGGTAAGAATATGATAGTGTCAAATCTTTAAACAAAGTTATAAACTTTGAATAAACAGAATTTTAGGAAGGTATCTATTTCTGGGATACTACTTTCGATTTTTAGACCTAATGCTCTGTGATATATTCAATATGCTTTGTAACTTTAATTTGTTAATAGACACATAGTTCAACACAAATACAAAAGTCTTGTGACCTATAAAATACTATGTTAACCCGACTGTCAATGGGTATTATATATCTGGAAATGACATGTATCAGCTGTTAAACTCTAGGCATTGTCAAACCTAAACAGTTCTTGGTAAGCTGAATCTGTATATTTCCTAACCCTAGTATAACCTCCATAGGAGGCTGTTTGAAACCAAAGCTGCTTGCCTAGTGTGTTGTTTCACTTATAAATCCAAATCCTTATTTCCAAAGTATTTAGAAAGATTTTGTATATTCTAAATTTGACCAACCTCCCATTTTTTTTAAAATTACATAATAATTTTTGACATCTGTTTGGCACGGGTATTTTTTATTGTATCAACCTCTTTATTCAAAATATTGTGATGTATTTTGATTTGAAATTGTGATAAAGGTCTGTGATAATTTTAACTTTTCATCTTCACCAAACTAGTATATAATTGAAAAAAAAATGAGTTCAGCCCATTTCAATGATCTCAGCTCTTCAATTGATAATTACAGAGCATTATTTTTTTTACTTGACACAGCAGGGTTGTGGCCTACAATATGTTTGAAAGTCATATGTGATTATGACGTTTATCTATACAAATGGCTGTGATATTTTGTCTAAGTAAATCTTGTAGAATATGATAAACTTTGCATTAAGCAATATGGTTTTCCTACTTTTCACATATCAGGATATTGTCTTGTTAACTTTGAATTTTATTTATTTATTATTTAATGTAAAGTTATTAGATTTATTATAAAAACAATATAATTAAATGGTTGTTATCTCTGTTATAATCCTCTATGTTACATACTAATATCTTATATTCCACAGAGAGGATATGCAAATTTGAAATGTAAATGGGAATAGAAACAATCTGAATACAAATTGAGAGGAACATAAAGTTTTGTCAAGTTTCAATTGAAATAACACATCTTCTCTCTGAGATATTTTGGAGATGAAAATGGACCAAAATCGTCTCTATTAACAAAAGTCTGCCAGTAATGTTTAAAAATTGGTTTTCCTTGAAAAGTCAACAGGGTAACTCAATGAAACATTTGGAAATATCTATAGTCTGACCTGTGGCCTGGATTCGGCCTGGATATCATTTAAATTAATGATGTTAACAATATTTCGCAGAATATTTTTGAGGGATTCCCCATTTGACAAAATATATATAAAAAAATTGAGATTATAAACATAAGCCTTCTTCTTTATTTTTACTCAGATTATTTGCACAGTTACTTTCCTTTATCTGGAGTCTAAAATTACTATTATCCAATGAACGTTTCTTTAAAACTCAGAAAACAGAAAATATTCTTATAGGAGAACCCTGTCTTGACGCTCGGTGAGAAACTTGTAACAAGACGCCGCATTTGGGTGGGTAGGTAGGTAGATGACAAGTTAATGTTCGCTTCCAGCGGATGCTGTATCGCAAACTAGGTAGTTGTTGGTAGTCGTAGTAGTTGATAGTTGGATTGGTTCAAATTGGATTATTCTGTGTTGTTGGTTTGGTTGTTGATTCTTCGTTAGATCTGGTCGGGTCGAATGACATGGCGGTGAAACTCGGCCCTGGATGGTGTGGCGTGAGTTACTCGATCTCCTTCATTCTTCCAAACTCGTTCTGATCATGGTATTTCTTGTTGATTGGCAGTCGGATGGTAGTCGGAAGGCAGTCGTTGGTTTGGTTTGGTTTGGTTAGATTATCTGTTATCTGTTGGAAAACTAGAAGATCCGAAAAAAAGAAAAAGAAAAAAAAAGAGAGTGAGGAAAAGGGAGGGAAGCTTTCAACAAAAGGGGGAAAGATGTTCTCTGATGTTTCTGCCATGAAACTTGTTAAATTGATTGGATATAATTAAAAAGTGTTAAGAAACTTTGAGTATAAAAACTTAGCCTATCTGTTCAAGACAGATTTGGTTATAAAATGGAAGACTAGTTCCATTATCGTATACCAGTGGTCCGTGGGTGGAGCCAAAACATTCTGTATGGTGAGTGGTATGCCGTTGGTTTCCAGGTACTCTAGCAGTGGCTTACGAGCGGGTTTCAGTTCAGTGCATTGAATGAGGACATGCGACCCTGTGGCAACGTGGCCGCAGCCGCATTTGGGTCAGTCTTCCTCCTATTAGTACCTCCGGTCTCTTGAGGCTGGAGCCGCCACTGCCATTAGCTTTCAAATCTATGTGTGTCCAGAATTATCCGCGTTTTAAAGTTGTATTTTTTAAGACACTGCCATATATGGATAATGTTATGTAGAAATAGGAAAAGCAATTCCTAGTTTGAATTTTTTCGTACATTTGAGCACTTCTGAAGACTATTTACATATGTTCATGACTCAAATCAACCCCCCTGTTGGTACCACAAGTACATGTGGACAGGATAGCCATTGGTGAAGCATTTGAGATTTGGATTTTTGTACCCCAAGTCTCGGTGTACGATATCGCGTAATTTTAATGAACGGTGTTCGAGCTACCGTATTCACAAATTCATTTGTAAATCAAAGTCGATTTAAAAACATAATAAGTTGATTATTAGATTTATATTTTACACCTTTAATCCTAATCCCTTTGTTTTTTGTTTATTACCACATGACCTGGGCTAGTTCTTTTGTTAAAGTTGTTATTTAAAACTGTTCTCAGCTCACGCTTTATAACAAGGTTTGAAAGCCCGCCTTGTAAGTTATCATTAAACGCATTTAAAGGGACATTCTGCTTTTTCTGTAGGTGGAGAATTTTTTTTGCTTATATTTGTGAAAAATTTACACTAGAGAGATGTGTCCTTAAACTTATCTAAAAGTTTGAACTAAAAACAAAACAGTCGTTAAATTTTAACGCCAAAACTATATTTAGAAAGTTTATGTAAGTTGACGTGAGCATACTTTAAGTATAATTTATGACGTTTTTTGATTATAAAAATTAGCAAACTGTCCCTTTAACTTCTTGAAACTGTTAACAGACTTGATTAAGCAAACACTAACAACTACTCAAGTACATGAGATCCATCACTTAACGTTACATTAAAAAAAAAGAATCCTTCAGGATAGTTGGGTCATAGTTTAAAGACAACAATCTACTTGTACGAAGTAAATAGGCCTACTATTCTTATATTACTTAAATCGATTGATTAGGGATATATACTGTACACGTAAAAGTAAGTTTTTCGGGCAAAAATCTCATAATACAAGGTTAGAAATTCGGGCAACCTCGGTCGTAAACCTTGCTCCACCACTGTATCTTATTAATACAGTGATTGATTGAAATTTCGCAGACGAAGATGTTTTTTTTTTATATTCTATGTAAACTTTTAACAGTGCAAAGTCATTTTAAGACTATTGTACTATTAGTAGGCTAACCTACCATGTTCCTTAAGCAACGCTTCAAGATAATAATTATGTACCTGTGTATAATCGTACCGTTGCTCAAGAAACATGTATCAGTACAAAATTGACAAAATTAAATAGAAAATAAGAAAATAGGACTACCATTGTTCCAATTTATCTGCTGACAAGGTGGACATGGTATTTCGTATAAAATTATCAATAAGGTATGTTTTTATATTCAATGGCGGCGCCACATCTGGAATCTCCACCCGGCAGTTGCAACCCACCTCCCCCATCCCCCCTCCTCATTAATCAGTCTGCCCCCTATTTGCACCCCAATTCCAGAAGGCTGGCGCCGCCACTGTTCATATTCCCAAATGACCATTCAAGAGTTCATAGGCCTATATAACTATCTGATAAAGAGATCAGGATTTAACCTTCAAAAGGTCACATTACAATGTCAAATTATCCTAGGGTCAAATGATATGATATTTGCAATTAAAATTTCTTAATAAATAGATGTGATATAGAAAAACTTTCCTTCTGAAAATTAATCTTTCATCATCAGGTTTAGAGTTAAATCTATGCATTAATGAAGCCCAAAAATCAGTTATCAAGATATGTAGTCCGAAACATCTGCCTCAATTACGACCTTTGATAAATATTTCGACAGTTATAGGCTGGAGTAACTAACAACTTTCCAAATAGCCACCAGAGGCTGGGAAAGAGGCAGATGTTTCGGTCATGTAATTCTAATCTTGGTCGTTCTTTGAGTTGATGAATTTGAAATTTCATTAAATCTCCGGCCAATATTTTAAAAATAGTTGCATGCATTTGAATGGAAACAAAAATACAAACTTTCACAAATTCACCACAAATTTATTTTCAAACAAACAACGCTTTAATTCATAGTTTTTGGTTCAAATGACCGCCTGACCATTTGACCCGATGATATTTTGTTATTAATTGTGCCTTGTTTCAGTGATTGAAGATAATTGCAAACTTCCTGTTATTATTAACATATCCATTGAGTTAATATAAAGTTTTTTTAATGTCAAGCTGTGGCGGTTTGGAGAACGAGAGGAGAGGGTGTGGTTGAAATACTTTTAATGAGTACTTAAATGATACTTATAGATATAAAATTCGAATTAATTTTCTTTTCAAACTGTTCCCAATTAGACAGATTCGAATTTATTTTAGGGTGACCCACTCCAATCCAAAGTTCTGCAGTCGCCACTGATGCCTAACCGGTAAGAAAATACGCCATGCGAGTCTTGAAGGTTACAATTGTTGTATTTCTGATTAATTCACTCGTTTGTCTTTCATCGTTGAGTTCTAATCATAATAATCGCAATATATCATAGACCTATTTTGGATTACATTTGATCAGTGCACGATTGCCAATTTTATTGGTAAATTTCATCTCGAGGACTGTTTTTTTTGTGATTGTAGCTCACTGAACCTAATCTAGGTCTTATTATTCTTTTTATAGAAATATTTAATCTTTACCTAGATTACGATTGACCTCAACTCTACCAAAATCCAAAAGATATCTGAACACACAAAAAACAACTAAACCTTTTCAATCATTATAGCATAGTTTTACAAGACCATGGTTGCAACTTCATCAAAAAGTGCTTGTTGTGTTACCAGAAGTAGATATTTCAGGACAATTTTTACATATTATGATTCATCAGAGGGAACCGCAAATTTTCTCGAGAGCACAGAGTGTTGAGTTTAGTTGCATGTATTCAGATACAGAACAGTCAATCTGTAATGAACCCGACTTTCACAAATAATAATTCTGATTGTACCACTGAACCACCATGGTATTGGTAAGAACTATTTAAGCTGTCACTAAACAATAGGCACATTCGTATACAGAACACAAGAGTCGTAGACGGAATCTCTACAGTTTGCTGCCAATATCAACACATCTCTTTTTAAACGTACGCCAGGTAGGTGCCAGAATCGTATAGATGCAGTAAACCTCAGCAGAGAAATGTAAACTAACCCCAAAGCCAACGGTATCCAAAGATATTCACCTTCATGATGTTCTGTTGGTCATTTACCTGAAATGATGGGATATTGAATGTCAAGCATAATTTTGTGGGTTTTCATACCATACCTATACCAATACTATTACATAATTGAACCAGTTTCATATCGTATCAATTTTGTTGTACTATGTTTGCTGAACTACGGACATCTGTTGATGCAGCTACATCACCCTTTAATTCATTGTAACATCGCTTCTTGTTAATTTTAATCCCTTTATCATTGAAATTCTTGGCAGATCTCCTAGAAAATTAAAACATACTGTGCTGCAAATCAGAAATCAGTGGTTAACACTAATCCATGCATGTGTATTTGATAAGGCCTGTTTAAACATTTCAAACCAGTGAAAGCTGAATAAATGGATTCTGCCACGTGAGGGCGTTCTAGCTGTTGGAAGCATCGTAACGTGTCGTAAGATTAGTAAATATTATTGTAATGATAATAATGACTAGGTATCTGGATCTTGTAAAGATAACGTTTCTGAGAAATTGAACGGTTAAATAAAAACAATTTAGTTGACCATATACCTTTATGTTGTAATTAGATAATCTCGAGGTTATAAAATGTAAGGTCACTTAACTTAAAGGGATTGTAAAAGGGTTTCCTAAAGATGTTATAGATATTAAGGATACTAATAGCATCAATTAGCACCATTCCAATTTTCAGTGGAACTTCTGTTGTTCTTGCAAAACTAAGCGTTTTGTGACGTCACTATCGCACATACTGTTGATATTATATAAGGCCCTTTGTGGTAGTGACGCCATAAAACGCTTATTTTGAGTGGAAGTGCAAGAACCACAGACGTCCCAATGTGAATTTAAAAGGATCAAATCGATGCTTTCATTGTGACTGAAAAAAAAAACCTTTAGAATTTCTTTAACTTTGACCCATTTGTCTTGGGTTTTTTTTTATCTCGAGGTAAATTAAACCAGGCTGTATATAGTCGAAATGGAAGTCTGAAAATAAGACTAAGCGTGTTGGATGGATCTGTGAATGTGTTAATATACATGAAATTTAATTTTGCGCATCGTTTATGAAATTCATTTAAGGAGAAAAATTGATCAATTTGGTTACAGATGGTACATTTAGCAAGATTCAAATTATTTTAAGTCAAGTTATTGCATTTTGCGTTGGGAAATGGAAAATTAAAGAGTTTCTGGTTTTTGTTTTTTAAGCACGCGTTAAGTTAAAAGGAATGGATAGTCGGAATATATTGACTTTACCATAACAAGTGCTCACCTAATTCAAATTGATGTGCCACATGTAGTACATGTCGAACGATACTCTAACAGTGATAAGGAGTTTATCACTGGTTTTAACATGTGGTATTGATTTGGTATCTTATTATTAAACTTTCAGCAGAAGATACTCGTATTTAGTGAAGAAGAAGATGGAGGTGAATGAGGAAGAACGCGGAAAGGATGTTGTGCACCCGACAAGGAATATGTCTGATGATATCTCAAAAACGTTTGTATCGGATACTGGCTATGCATGGGTTATATTAACAGGTGTGTTTGTATTTTTTCTGTATCGTTCTTCAACACTATGGGCAATGATCCGCTCTAATCATTCATTGCATAGGTCTTACACTGATCAAAATTGATAGTATCTCTGAGGGTAGAATATCGACAGCTGTTACCAACCCAATGCCGTAAAATAAACTCTGTCTGTGTGCAGTTATAATACTTCTGAAGACTATTTATAGATATTCAAGATCCAAATCAACCACCAAAACATGGTCACCACTTCAGGCATTTCGCAGTTAGTGACTTTATCAATCACTTAGTTTAAGTGGAATTGCAGGAACCACAGACGTCCGATCATTATCGAAAATTGGAATGGCGCAAATTGGTGCTATCAGTGTCCCCGATACACATAAATAAATTACGCCTTTTGTTTTCAGCATGTTTTTTTGCTAATATGCTCCAGTTTGGGTATCAGAAAGCATTTGGACTGTTATTTGTGAAGTTTTTAGAGGAATTTCAAGCTCCAGTGTCTTTCACATCTATCATACTTGGATTGTTCGAGGCTATTACCAGTCTAGCTAGTAAGTACAGACACCTAAACTTTCTTGAACCATTTTGATAAAAACTGTTAATGTATAACTGACGTGCTTTTGTTTATTACATACAGTCTTTTCGTACGTACTTGTATTTGTACAAAGAATATTGTGTTCTGTATTTTATAATAGCGAATGTAAAACATTATAAATGGATTTTTGAGTTCTTTGACTTGAATAAAATATTTCATACCGTCTGATTAATCTGATCTATTTTTAAAGGTCTATTTATTATGGGAGTTCTGCTAGATTACTGGTCTATTCGAGTATATGGTATACTTGGTGCGCTTCTCTCAGCAACTGGTGTAGCTCTCAGTGCCTTTGCAATGAGCGTGGAATACCTTATTTTTTCACACAGTGTTCTTGTAGGTAAGTTTATAATAATTTCTACAGATATGAGACAAATAAGTCGGTATCACCAAAAACAACACCAGCCACTGGAACTCATAGTTCAAGCATTTTGAAAAATATATTTCACCGTCATGGTACTACGACCTCTGAAAGCGATCCACATAATTTTCATTATGAATTCATTTCCACAAATCATTATTGTACACTCAGACCTATATCACCTTTATCACAGACGTTGATAAATGGAGCAATTTGGTTAGATTGTATGTTAGTGAATTCAGCCAATCAGAGTCCTTGACAGAAAGTTTGTAAACAATAAGCCGTAATGTTTACATTCATGTTTACTGCCGATGACTATGATTGGCTGAATTCGCTGGCATACAATCCAATAATAATCCAATGATAGATGAAAATTGGTTATGAAGTCAAATTATAAGACACAGTTTGTAAAGCTTACGTAAAAGCCTGTGCTTTATGTTGTACAAAAAGGTCTCTGTTCTTCAATAATATGTTTATTTTGCAGGTATTGGTTATGCATTTTCATTTGGACCAATGTTCGTTTTGATTTCAAGACACTTTAAAAAGAGAAGAGGTCTGGCCTTTGCTATATCTAGTGCCGGAGTCAGTGCTGGAGGCATGACGACACCTTTGATCATTTCAACACTTCTTGAAAGCTTTTCTCTTCAAAACACTTTGTTGATTTTCAGTGCTATAATGGCTTCAGCAATTTTGTGTGCGACTCTGTACACAGACCCTACCTCACAAACTTACGAAAATTCTAATAGCCTGTCAGGATCGGAAAAATCGACCGACGAAAGTTTGTTGATGGAAACGTTTGAACCATCAGAAAAGCCAGTTTCAACCGCCCAGACAGGCCAATATGACGATGTTTTGGAAGTGATAGGCGATGATAATCAAAATGTAGAATCGGAATACTATGAAATATCGAAAAATTATCAAAAGACACCGAAGACGCCCGAAAATCACCAGAGTAATACACCAAACGACCCAGTCTCAATCGAATGTAACCTGATAGATGAAATAATTCGTCGGCGCGATTGCAATATGTCTGAATTCAACAAGATATTGGTATGGACATCCAGTCAACGGCTACCCAAACTTGGAACACCCTCTAAATATTATTCTGAAAAGGCGATTCATGAACTAGAGGATTCTCCTTTAAAGACGAAGTCTCGCTCTATGTCTGCTAGCATACTCGAGCATTGCTCATTCTCCTCGCCGGTGAGTGCAATGAATATTACTGGAATGAGCTCCTTTATCTTTGCGAGCAGTCCATGTTTGAAATATAACACTGCAGAATTAATTGAAATTGACGCCTCTGATTTGCGTAAAAAATCATTTGTAAAGAAGTGTAAAAATTTACTGGATCTCAATTTATTCAAAAATCCAATATTTTGGTTTATTGCTGGATTTACTGCCTTCGGACGAACTGGGTTGGTATTGGCCGAGGCCTATATCCCACCACTAGCTCAAGAAAATGGACTCAGTGAATACCAATCTTCGGTGCTTCTTAGTGTAATTGGTGCCTTAGATGTCATATTTCGAATTGTTCCTGGAATAATCATAGAGTTTAGAATTGTAAAAGCCCAGCATATTGTGATATTTTCGTTGATTGTCCTGGGAACCGTGTTTCAATTCATCAGTTTTTTCAATGACTTTGCTACTTTGATGGTGCTATCGTGTTTATATGGTATATTTGGTGGTAGTTATTTTACGCTGTTGGCCGTGATTCTTATTGATATTATGAATATAGATAACTTTGGTAAAATATTTGGTTTTGTGCAAATATTCCACGGGGTGTCTTCTTTTGTAATTTTCCCAGCTGCCGGTAAGATCTCATTTTCTTTTCTAAGATAAGCCATAGTCATTGCTACTGGTTTAATTGGAGGATCCATTCATTATTGAAAAATCATTGTTGTTTCCCGTGAATGATGCTACTGATTAAATCAGGGCTACCAACAGCTGATCGATCATAGGATCGAGAAGGTCGTAAGACACGCGTTGTAACATTTCCCTGAGTGGTGTAAAAGCGCACTACACGCGTAGCAAAGAAGCTGCAAAAACGTTAGAACGAATATGGTCGCATAACTCGCGATAAGAGCTCGACTGTTATTAAGTTTTTTTTAAAGGACTTTTTCTCTAGTTTTTTCCAATGTTTGACCGCTGTAAGACCACACCCTGGAACTTATCTGAAACTGTTGACATATTGTCTGTCAAAATGCAGTTTATAATGAGCAAACCTTATTTCCGATTCTTTATATTCTTGCATAGTATCTCTGAGTTTAACTTAGTTATCAGAATCAGTATGAATGAAGTATAGTTTCAGAGCATAAGATTCTTAAGCGTACTGGACACCAGAACAGTCGGTAAATTCCATTCGCCCACTTGGAAAATCAAGTAAATATCATGTTCGAACAATTTACAACCAAAACGGTTGGACATGGTGCACTTAGTAACGTACTAGTATTTTTCTAGTTATTATTATGTAAGGCACTACTGTAATCATAACTATTATGTATTTTCAGGTGGATTAAAAGATTTAACTGGTACATATACTTCATGTTTCCAGTTTCTTGGTGCCTGCTTATTACTGAGTTCTATTATATTATTATTCGAACCTCTTGTTAAAAAACATATATATAGTAACCGTAAGAATGACCCAAGGGAAATAACTCCAAGTAAGATGTTAGAATGAGGTGCGAATATTATTTTCAAAAGGAACTGATCAAGCTCATGATAAGATTTCATCTATACAACACCCAAGGGGCATATGAAACTACGTATTGTTCTTACATGGAAATAACACAAGTGTGATTTGAAGGTTTTGTTGAAATATTTAGCCTTTTTCAAAATTCGTGTGTGTTATTTCCATGTAAGAACCATGCGTAGTTTCGTAGACCCTAAACTGTTGGAGATGATTAGTGTAAAAAACTTTTCTTCATTCTGGAGATTTTACTTTTTAAATCAAAAAAAAAAAAAAAAAAGAAAAGAAAAAAAGATAGTTTTTAGAACTGGACATGTTCTGTCTAGATAAGAAAATAATTTTTTTTTAATACGTGTGTTTTCTTTTTAATCTGAATTAGAAACTTAAATACGTTACATTGTATCTTCCCTGGAAAACATCAACATGAATCATTAAACAATGAAGGTACTCATGAGTTGTTGTTGACGAAAAGTTTGTGAAATTAATCAAATGGACACTTTAAATCTGCCCCAAGAAATAATAAAATCCCAAATTCTTAGATATGATTTCTGCATTTCCTGCGATTAATTTAAGGCATCTATATCAGTTCAACGGAAAAGTACTTCTCTGTCTCGAGTTTTGAAAATAGTGAGCTCAGACGACAAAAGTTAAGACAGTTTTACTATCAATAGATCGTTCAGACGGATATAACAGTTAAAGGGATAGACCATTTTTTTTCAATGAGTTTTTGTGGTCTTGATCATGAAATACATAATTCTTCATGCCAACACGTAGACGAAGATACCCGTTACCTTTCACGAAAGTTTCAACGTGAAAAATCCAAGCATTAAGTTACAATCGATAAAATAATTCTTAAACGGTTACGTAAGTATTTCAATTGGACCAATTGGACCAATCAGCGTTAACTATAGGCCCACATAGTCATATTTCCGACCGGAGGACGTAATAGAAAATAAAAGTAGCGATGAACCTCGTTATTTTCATTTCTCATTTATTGTGATTTTGTGAATTTTGCTCGTTACTCCCAACACTGGGGTATCGCCAACAATTGGTGGAGTGGCTCTCCCAGGTTGCTCTATTCGATAGATAAGGGTTAGCCAAACTCAAACAAGATTCTAACAAAATATATCTTACAGCCCAGCAAATATTAACAATAAATAAAGAAAGAATAAACAACTCTCGAGCAGGGAACGACTCTCTTACCCCGAATCAATGAATCTGTCAATAAATATCTATATCGCTCCGAAGGGAGTCACTGTTCCATCCAAAGGTCCTATCCCAACGGCTGCTAAAAACGAACTCTCAAAAAAGGCGTGCATCGCCGTATATAAAGGGTCTAGGTCACATTACATATTCCTATCGCCACCTATCGTAAGAAAAAGGCAAACATGACTAGAAAATCTCGACTATAGGAAAGTTATACCAACTTGGAAAATGCATAACAGATAAAATGACATCCTACATCTTTTGCAAAAGGGAAACCCTAACGTATCAGCACAATGACATTATATAAAATGCAATATTAAATAATGAAATAGGCAAACTTACGATAAGTAGACGAAGTTAACAAATAACCAGGCGCTCAACCGGAATTTAAATATATAAACAATGCTAAAAAGGACGCATGCGCATTGATCTCCATCGCCTTCTCAGATTGTTGACTAGAAAAATAGCGGGAGATGGTTAACAGCTTTGTGCACGCACAGAAAATACTATATCCGGTTTAATGTCAGCCAGGAGCGTTCAGACGGCAAAACTAAGCCAGCTTTACTTTTCAAGTCAGGTGTTAACCTCTGAATTAGTAGGTGCAAGTGAAGGCAGCTTAAGTTTGGACCGGTCGCGTTCAGACGCCAAAAAAAACAAAACATGGCTTGAAGAACGGTTGATAGTTAAGCTGCCTCAGCTTTTGCCGTCTGAACGCACTTAACGTGTACAATAACGTGTTTTCCCTTTCTTAGACTGTGTCCTGAGCAATATACCACTGTTTTGATACGTGTTTGTGTCTTGTGCTGTTAACATTATGTGCGCTACAGAGCAACCTCATTGTTGGAATGATCAACGCAATATAAATAGATTAATTATTATTCTTATTATTATTCATAACCCATTGAGTTAAACTAAGGACTTGAATAACATTTCATATGTTTTAATTTCTATGATGATAAATATCGCTGTTTTATTGGTTACCTCCCTTGAACATTGAAATGATTACAAGACGTGTAGGGCTATTGACCATTTGGCGGCTTTATCTTACTCGGTATTGACTTGTGTTTGAGTTGTTTCTTCTTTGTTGAGACTCTTTACTTCCGGCATTTCACATTTATTTGTCTTGTGATAGTAATTTTGCGACTTCATTAATTGATGAATACAAGAGTCACTTGATCATGTGACAATTTGGACAAAGGGAGCAGATTGACTCAGTGGAGGACAACAACTGTTGAGGCTGAATCCACATTGCGGCAACTCTGTAGATGCTTCATAGTCGCAAGGCCGTCATGGAGCTTCTAAGGGGGTTAACCCAGGAAAATGTTTGAAAAATTGAATTGATTTGGTGCATTCTGAACAATTTTGAGACAAACACGTATAAAAATCATATTTTTAAATAATCGTCTCCAATATCTGAGGCCCCTATCAACTTTTAACTGGTAGGCCGAAGTAAAAAGAAATTGGTTCATGTATTCTCTTGATATCCTGACACCAGGTAATGCCATGTGGGTACAGAGATACACCGTAACATGTCCTGGTGTCATCCATGTCCGCCCGTCCGCCCGACCGTCCGTGAACACCCACTTGAGATTCAGAGCTTATCCTGGCGACACCCATGTGCACCCGTTTGCCTGACTGTCCGTATACACCTACTTGGGATACAGAGCGTATGTTGGCGTTACCCATATCCGTCCGTCCACAAGTATTTGTATACATACTATATATTTTAGCTTGTAAACACAATAAATTGTATATATTTTTCGACGAATTTTGACAAAACTATATTAATTGTTAATGACGCGACAGTTCTAAACGAAAAGTATGAATAAGGCTGAAAAATTTATGCTGATGATGATTGCTTTCTGTCAAATGTCCAAATTTAAACAAGGCAGCCATTCAAAGTTTGTTAGTTTGCCTGGCAAATCTTTCAGAAGTTACGAATGTGTTGAGTTCTATACTGACCTAAGCAAACTATGCATTATAAGTATTTTTCACTTCTGTGTCCTTTTATACACTTCAGATGTATTAAATAAGCGTGGCTACAGATGTAATATTAGCGCCCAATAGCTTTTCAGTATGAATAACGGATTCAAAATGACAGGAGATACTATTAATACGGGCGATAAAATAAATATAAAATCGAATGACTTGGAGGTTATCTGGCCTTCACGTTAGACGTCCTTCATTTTTCATATAATCACCTGATTTGACACTTTAACCGCAGTCAATACTTAAAATACATGGTTATAAGTTGAACCATTCATATCAGGTAGGCTAATAATTTTTTCTTTTCAATTTTTCTTATGAATTTTATTGGCATGTTGAAAGTAAAACACAAATACCAAGAAATGCTCATGAAGTTGGAATTTTAATAAGAGTAAGTTTTAAAATAAAGGTAGGTTTATAGTTTAACACACATCGTTCAAGCGTTTCATATACCAACTTGATAAAGATTATCATACTGAAAACCTGTTGTGTCTTAAAATTATTATTCTTTTTTGTTATTTGTTATCTATCTTTTTTTTATTAACTTTTTGTCATTTTCACACAAAACTTCATTTGACTTTCTTACATAGCCTACTAGGATCTCGATTTCATTTAACGCTTACCATGCGTAATTTAATTTTGATACTATACTCCTCATAATTCCCTGACTAAACTTAAAATATATTCATTAAGCTTCGTACCACTCAGAACAACCAATCGCCCATTCTGCAACAACAACCAATAGCCTTATTCACCAACAACAACCAACAACAATCAATAGCTCTATTCACCAACAATAGCCAATGGGCCCCATTCACCAACAACAACCATTAGCTCTATTCACCAACAACAAATAATCGCCCCAGTCAACAACAACAACCAATAGCCCTATTCAGCAACAACAACCAACAACCCCATTCACCAACAACAACCAACAACCCCATTCACCAACAACAACCAATTGCCCCATTCACCAACAAAAACCAATAGCTCTATTCACCAACAGAAACCAATAGCCCTATTCACCAACCACAACTGACAACAACCAATAGCTCTATTCACCAACAACAACCAATGGCCCCATTCACCCACAACAATCAATAGCTCTATTCACCAACAATAACTCTATTCACCAACAACAACCAATTCACAAACAACAACTAATAGCCCTATTCACCAACAACAACCGACAACAACCAATAGTTCCATTCACCAACAACAATTAATGGCCCCATTCACCAACAACAACCAATAGCCCTATTCACCAACAACAACCGACAACAACCAATAGCTCTATTCACCAACAACAAACAATAGCTCTATTCACAACAACAATCTATAGCCCCATTCACCAACAACAACCAATAGCCCTATTCACCTATAACAACCGACAACAAGCAATAGCTCTATTCACCAACAACAACCAATGGCCCCATTCACCCACAACAATCAATAGCTCTATTCACTAACAATAACTACTAGCACTATTCACCAACAATAACCAATAGCCCTATTCACCAACAACAACTAATAGCTCTATTCACCAACAACAACTTATGGCCCACTCACCACCAAGAACCTATGGTGACGCAGGAGTTGACCAATCACCCTCCGTCTACCTTAGGACCAAATTTTACCAGACCATAACTGAAACCCAGACAAAAGTTACACTGTATCCATGCCATCCAAAGAACGGGAGACTTATCAGCAGATCCCAACATAAAGTAGAGTCAACA